GCCCCGTTATCAGATTTTGAAAAAATACCCGGTGCTATGCCAGTCTTGGTGTTGAGCACTATAGCCTGTTCAGCTTGTAAATGGGCAAAGATAACTTACCTTTGATAACATATTTTCCATTTGAGAAGCTATTTGATATTGTTTACTACCAAAAAGTGATGAAGGAGTGGTGGTAGTCACCATTGTGTTACTGGTAGGAGGAATAGAAGTTGTTGATGTTCTAAAACTACACCAGGGGGTAAGTTTTCATTGGAATATGAGCGAGAAAGAGGTCGTGTTGAGATCTGGCCAAACACTGGCCAAAATTTCAGTGTTTGACTAGATTTCAGCTGGTAGGTTGGCTGGTCGGTCTTGCGAGAGATTGACCAGCCTTTTGGCCAGCAGAAGACGGTATAAGGAAATCTCCTCCAGGCACATCAAACCAGAGGCTGTGCAATTAAAGTTTCTTAATCACATTTGCCTCCATTGCCGTGGTTCTAGCCACCCCTTTTTTATTTTGACAACATGAGAGCTCCCAGAATCCATTCTTTGGTCTAGGAGCTCTTCACCTTCTTGCTTGACATGGAGGCCTCAACCCACATGGGGTGGATGGGGTGACCAAGGGAGATGTTGAACAATGGATCAATAAACCAATCAATCGGTCAACTGGGCTGTAAACTGGTCGCTGGATGGCCTGAAAACCGCCAGATGGCCCATCTGATGGCGGTCAGGCAATACCGCCTTTTGACCGCCGCACCACTGACCATCTGGCGGCAGTTCTCCACCACCAAGTGAACACCATCAGATGGTATGAATTACCCCGTTGTGTACAAAAAATATAATATTTAAAATCTAGGAACAAGCTGCATACTTTTCTGGGTTTTTTGCTCTCTTCCTGATGTCTCAGGAATTTTCTACATCAATGATTTTCTTTTCTGCCCAGAAAATATTACATTTCTGGTAGTGTAAGATTGTTAGGTCATCAACTGAATTGACATCAGATGTCCATTGGTAATCTTAAGCAGATGAAGCCAAAGAAAAACAGGAGAAGAGGTATTTAAATTGATTGGCAATGAGAGTTCTTCTTCATTCATAAGTTATCTTGGATTGTAAGCCAGCAGTGCCTGTTCACAGTCTTTTGCATTCAAATGATCACATAATGCACCACACACCTTCACCTCCCCACGCATCTGATCAAGGGCAGCAAAGTTCCCCATCTGTAATACATTCCTCTGCTTCAGGTCATAATCATTCAAGATCAACTTCTCTGGTGATGCAATCTCGTTCCCAGAAATCCCCTTCTGCCGAATCCCAATTGCATCTACCGATTGCAGTCGTGGTCAAACAAACGGTTCCACCACCGCGTCAGCGAACAATCAGATTCGGTCTCTGACATCCGGTGCGTTCCTGACACGGTGGTGTGACCGTTTCCGAGTTGGAAACGGCGACACCGGTTGCACATGCCTCTGGCATATGCAATTGTTCTTTTCTATTCACTTGTTTGTTAGTCAGCCAATTTTTCCTCCATTTTATTTGCCACCGTCAGACCACTCTGACCAACACCGGGTAAGCAACGCAACGCCGCGCAACAGCGTCATTCAGCGCGGCGTTGCGTTTCGCCAAAGATAAGACTTTTTCAAACTCTCGTAGCGCAGCATTTTAAAAAGCAAAACGCAACGCAACAAAGATTGTGTTGCTGTTTGAATGCTACGCAACGGGCGCAACAGCAACGCCACTGACTAAACTAGGTGTAAGCAGCGAGATCAATTTCGAATAGCATTTATAGCATCAACCCATGGTCGGGGATGGTACAGGCGAATACAAAAAATAAGGAAAACAAGAGGAATGAACGATATTAAAGAGAGTTATGAAAAATTGATGTTAAAAATCAATAAAGAAGGAGGAGAAAAAAAAAAGATGAAATCGATTGCTCCATGGTCAAGTCATGGGTATGCCCATTGCTTTTAGAACCTTGCTAAGCTCGTCAAAAACACTACCCAGCCCAACTCCTTCTCTTAACCACAGTCTGCTTGATACAAGGCTTTCAATCGTTCGGGCAATCAAACTGCCTCGGCTACATGAACAAACATCTGAAGCACAGGAGAAGATTCTCTCTGCCGCACACGAAGAACCGGTGGTTGCTAGGTAATCTCTAGCCATGAGGGCCAAGACTCGGTAATTTTTTGCGTGAGCCTAGAAAGTAATACATTTATTATTAATCAAAGTAATCATTTTCATACTCACTATATTTGATCAGTGAGTATGAAAAAAATAACTCACCTTCCACCACAGTAGGCTTGCTTCCGGATCCTGAACATCATAGTTCTCTGTCTTCATCTTGTCCGTTCCACGTAGATAGTTCTTCAATGGTAGGTCATCAGCCTCATCAACTTCGGATTCCACATCCGTGTTGCTGCCAAAGATTTCTGGCTTAGGGGAAGAAGTGGCGTGTGTCTTCGATTGTCTTTCACGTTCGTTTTGAGAAGAAGTCGATCTGATGATAGGTGCAGAGAGCTCGTACTCTCGGTGGAGCCGACGAAGAGTTGCTTCAGCTTGCATTGTAACCGAGGCGCTTTCTCCAAACCATTTTACAAAAAATCTAAGTCGAAAGAAAGGATGTAGTACAGTGGCCATGACAAGACTCTCGCATGCCAGCGCCTCTTTAAGATACTTGTCAGTCTTTTCTTTCATCTTTGCAAGCATCGGATATATGGTGTCAGTTGTGCTGAGGTGTAATATCTTCTTTTCGAGATTGTTCTGAAGCTGCACGTATTGGGGTATCACCATGCACCCAGTCGGTCCATCGCCCTCCATGAGAAGGGTTGTCTTCAAAAATGGCTAAAGTAATCAATCAAAATGAATGAATCGAAAAAGAAAAGATGTTGAATGATTGTATAGATAAGATGTATCAAAATGGTCTACTTACTTCAAGTTCTTTGTTGATTCTTCGGACTTGTGCCCATTCACTGGTTGTCATTTAGAGTTCATGAAAATATCCATAGGGCTTCTTGTTTTTACGTGGCGGGCGATTCTTTGAGTGGACGATGTTTAAATTGTCTCGGCACAATTGATCAATGACCTGCATGAATAAAAAGTTAGCTGGAATCGTGATTGATAATCTGAGGAAAGAATCGACAGTACCTCACGTGCAAGCCATGCCTTGTGGCGGCTTTGATATTTCACATTCCATCGAATGCCGTAACCTGCAATGATTGATCCTTGAAATCCCTTTTGTGCACACACATGATCATACTCCTTGCGCCAAGCCGCGGAATGTGTGATTCTTCGAGTGATAAAGTCCACCTGTTCAATAAAATAAATAATCAGCAATTTGTTACGTTGAATACAAGAGATAAAACAACAAGAGATAAACCATCACATATACGTACCTTGCGCAAGATGTAATCGAGATTGTTTGCTTCACGACGGTGCGTTGGGTGGACCTCATTATCGTCAAGGGTCAATTCAGGTGCTGCTTCATCCTCAGCGTCAGCGGCATCCCACTCCCCTTCATCATCAAGTTCAAGAACCACATCGGTTGGAGCTGGAGCATCCTCAAGGTCCTGCAAGTCGTGCTCGTGGGTTTCGTCTTCCTCCTCAGCAAGATTTGATCGGCCAACACCGGGTGGAACTACCATTGGTTCGTCTTCTGGTTCGTCCTCCTCCAGGATGCTACCTACGATGGGAAAGTGACCTCGGTCAGTAGCTTTGGCTTTGAGGGGTGGCGGAGCCTTAACTCCAAGCGCTGCCAAACCTGCATTGACAATCAATGCAAGTTTATGGCAAAAACAAAATATGTGCATCGTGTGTGGGTCCCATCAGTAAGAATTGATGTCGTCCTGTTCTAAAAACTGTTTGTGCATCTCTCGAGCCATTGTCTTGTTGTTAGAGCCCGAATCTGTGGTCTGACATAGCATGTGTTACAACATAAATCAAGATGTCAGCACGAGATGATATGAAATAAAAAGGATGAATTAAAAAAGGAAAAAACTTATCTTTCTAAATAGTCCATGCTTTACTAAAATGTTGACCATTGGCTTGGCAAGCCAAGGACCGTGATGGTGCCATGTAATAACTTTGAGAGTCAAGTGTCGAACACGATACTTCCATTCGTCGTCCGCAAAGGTCACCGATGCCCCAATGAAGGCATGACGGTTCCCTTTTGTGGTCCAACCATCGTGAACCAGATTGAATTTCGATTTGAGATCCTGGGAGATTAAAACCAAAAAATTAGATTACATAAAAGGATAAATATCTCAAAATTGATTATGACCTTGAGTTCTGAGAACACCTTCTCTTTAAGTGAAAGGTTAATTTGTTTGGCCTTGTCTGCAGCCCAACAACGGCCATACAAGTGAGCTTCCTTCCGGAGGTAGCGGATCATCCCTCGAAGGATGGGATCCTCAACTCTTGTCCACGGTTGTGCTTGTCGGATAAGCCAGAGACACGCCATTTGATTCAAGGTAAGGTTTGAGAAGCCTACGTTTGCTGTTGCGGTCACAAACGCATTCATGGGTCCAGTCTTAGACAAGGCCTTTCGTGTTTCGGCAACCGATGGCGGAATCTGCAAGTCGGGTTCCTTCTCCTTGGCTACAAGGCGTCCAGGACATCCTACGTCGGATCGTCCATCGGCGGTGTTCCCATCTCGGTGGACCCAAAGATTACCAGTCAAATTGCTAAGACTAACTCTGACCGGGTCATCCTTGTTTCGTTTACAAAATCGACAAGGATAAGAGAGGGGGGCTTTGCTGGTATCCTAGATAGATAATCGAGAGGATGGAAAGATTGAAACAAGAATAAGAAAAATTGAAAGGAAGAAATGTGTTAATCTTGTTTGAGTACTCACATCACCTGATTTATGGAAAGGGGTGCCAAAATACGACTTGAGCCGGACAAGGTTGCTTGGATCATCCTTACGCGTCTTTGCTTCGATCTTTCGATTCTCTTCGTCCGAATCCGCACGTAAGTCTCCTTTGCTGACGTTCTTCGAGACGATCTGATGAATGTAGAGAGTTGGTCAGTTAAACTTGCTAAAGAAGTCATGTTAGAAGAATCACTGACATCTTTAGCCATACTAGTATCATTTGTACCCTTGCTTTTCTTCGACTTGGTCTTACGCTTCTTACTATTTGCAACTGGCGAAGAGATGATTTCGATTTCGGTATCGGTTGCTTCCTTACGCTTTTGTCTCTTGGATCGACTCGGGACGGCTACCGCATCGTCTTCAGAATCGGAGACATGGGCCTTGTTCTTCTTCTGGCGATTACGAGATTGGCCACTGGCAAGTATAATGCTGTCAATCGATACGCGGCGACGTGAGTCAGGAGTGACTGGGACCATTCCCGGGTGGCTGGTCTGCTTTCGAGAGCGGGTAGGACGTTCCGAGGTTACAGAAGACTGTGACATCTTGGAGGTTGTTGGTATTTGTTTATATCGAAAGAATTGTGAAATATGGTCAAACTAAATCGAGATAGTGATAGCGAAGAGTAATGATATTATGAGGATAAGAATCAGATTGAGATGATGGAAAAAAGAAGACGATGTATCAGCGTGATGGATAGTATTAGAGCTTGAGGAGTGGAATTGAATAATAAGAAACAAATCGAACATGAAATGGAAGTATTTCAAGATGTATTACATTCTCTTCCCAGTTCGATCGGAGTTTGGGTATGGGTGTATGAACCCCTGGGCTCCAGTGCCTAACCACAGGCATCTTGATTGGTCCAGATATGTCGAGATTAGTTGAGGTTGTGTCCTAATTGGGTTGTGTAGCGAATGATAGGAGGTGATCGAAGGTCTTGTGGCGTAGAATTCCCAGACTACAGTCTGGGATCTGACCCCTTGCGTCCAACTCCCCGGAAACTACCCGGGTAGCCTTCCAGGCCCCGCAACACCCGCAACCGTTGCGTGCTGCGGTGCTACAACTGCTGTTGCGTTGCTTAGAGCATCTCCTATCGTTCGAGTAAATTTTCTGTAAATTTTCTGTACATACTGACCCGGTACGGTATCACTTGATACAGAACGGTGGAAATCCACTATCGTTGCATTATATCAAACAAAGTACAGTACATACTGTACAGAAACACCTCATTGCCACTATCGTATGTTCGGTAAAAAAAACTGCAAATCTCATGTTCTATCACGCAACAATCCATCCGAGCACAATCAGTTTGCAAAGACAATTGATCTGATGACAATTGATTTCAGAACAATCACTTTGAAAACAAGATGATTGACTTCATAACAATTGACTTGAAAACAATCGAGCTGAAAACAATTGAGCTGAAATCAAACGAGCTGAAAACAAACGATTGAAAAAAGTCAATCAAAAAACGATCGATTAGAAAAAGATCAATTAGAAAAAGATCAATTAGAGAACAGCCAAGTTATCTATATGACCATTTGAAAACCATTGATCACAGAAAACGGAGAATTTACAAGATGAAATTGGTGTTTGATGGTGATACAGGTGTAGTGGGATAGAGTGGGACTGATTTGAGGATGAGTTGTAGGATCGGCTCGGTAGAAGTCGAGCAGATTTGCAGATACCGACCTCTGCAGAATCGGTAGAGGTCCAGCAAATTTACTGGACCTCTACAGAATTTCTACAGATTCTGTGGGTACCGATGCATGATTTTGACACGATTGGGAGTTTTGACCCTTGGTATGGTAAAATTTACCGTACCGAAGCCGTTTACCGAGACGATAGGAGATGCTCTTATAATAAAAAACCCGTTTTTGAATGTGTAGGATGCTCTGCTGAGTTTTACACCTCGAGCGCAGCTGTGCAGCGCTGCTCCCTAAAAAATCCGCAACGCCGCGCCTCGGAACAGCAACGGTGAGCGTTGCTTACCCTAACTTAACTAAGTCCCTCCAAACCGCGCGGGCGCTTCCTATGGAGCTTGCGGAGGAGGGACTTACGACTTATCAGCGTGTTTCAGCCTGATTAGATTTGGATTTGGCAGGGGCCATCTCCAATCCTTGATTTAGCTTTGTCACACAAATTGATCCCTCACTTTCATCCGGTCAAGTTACACAACAAGGTCTTGCCCATCTTTTGGCCTCTTCCGATTCCTCTCAAGAGGTTTCAAAATCAAAAGTCCAAAGGACCTCAAAAACAATTCCAATCGTGATTTTTATTTTATTTTTTTATTTTTTTGCTGCGAAAACATACATGCACATGTGTATGTGAGTTAAATCCAAATTTGGACCCTCTCTACTGACCCATAGGCCAAGTTTGTGGAAATCGAGTCTTCACAATACTTTGCCTTGAACCTCAATCACTCAGCTATACTCAACAAAGATTCAAATGGACAGCGGGTCCGGAGAATCAGAAACTAGGTTCCAGCTTGATCCGACTATCGAAAGCTTACCGCCACCATCATCTGGAGAAACAGATGATCTAGTCGAAAGGATTTGTCGATTTATGACCAAGCAGCAAACCAGCACGAAAAAATTCCTCTTGTCTTATTTAAAATCATCTAATCAATATGTTGTCTCGCGGAAGAAACAGTGGGGATCAGTGAAGAAAGGTTGGAAAACCACCGAGGAAATCCTGGATGCAATTGATGAGCTTGTGAATGCAAAGCCAAGTTGTCGACAGAAATGGAATGATTGGGTGTTGAAGAAGGTAAGGCCGGAGTCTATGATGTATATGTTGTAAGAAACCAGAAGCTGATATATAATCTCATAAATTATATGTCTATGTTCACAGGCAAAGGTTATCGTAGCAGCACAGTCTCCACCTACTGGAAGTCTCTACATCAACATCAATAAACTCGATCAGCCTTTTTTTGACCACGCAATAGATGTTAAACGAGATGACACTGTCATTCAAAGCATGAATTTTATCCACGAATTGATTAGTTTTAAACTAGGGATTCATAAGAAGACCAGTGATGAAACGAGTGTGGAAAGTTTACATATCAATTCAGATTCCAACTTAGAATCAGACTCCGACTTAGACTCGCATGAGGACTGTCAAGCGGCGACGAACTCGGCTGCAACAAACGATTATCACAAATCGAAGGACAAGGCAGAAAACACACAGACTAGATTGAAATCCGTAAGCTATCTTCTACAAAACACTAGTGACCACAAGACTGACTCTATATTATATATAGATTGCTCGGACAATGGTACAGATGCTTGCCTTTGGATGTAATCGCCGATGCAATGCACTCCAGGTTCAAAACACAATCACTTTGCTTGCCTGCGGCGTTTCGGAACGAGTTAACCACTACCTATATCAAATCGGTCTCAGTGCTTCTCGAAAATCAGCTCTTAGAGGCCTTTTAGTACTTGCTAAGAAGAATGCGAAAACTATCAAGGAGAAAATCAAGGTGGCGGGTACACTTGGGTTTCTCATTTGTATTGATAATCTGGATATGATGGAGCGAGTACATAGTAGGCGGTTAGATGCAACAAGCAAAACATATCATGGAACTTGGGGTTATATTCATTACCTGAATCCTGAAATCCTTACTGGCCTGGATTCTGAAGAGTGTACGGTTCGGGCATTTCAAGGTTTTCTCAAAATCGATTGTGAAAAGCCTGTAAACTCAGGAGACTTGCTTCCAAATGAAGTCGAAGCAAAGCGATGGAATTTGACTCTCAAGAATCAGATAGCTTGTGTCCTCTTACGATATATGAAGAATCCCAAGAAGTTCAAAAACATTCCTCTATTGAACCTCCCGGCATTAGATCAAATCAAGCCCGAAAAACCGGATATATCCATGCTCAAGCTGATGGATTCATCAGACAATGGGTCTGATGGAATTGCTTCCCTTTACGATGAGCTGACTAAACAAACCGGTCTATCGCCTGAAGAATTCTCAAGTAGACTCCAAATTATCAAAGGTGATCTTGGTACTTGTCTTAACTTCCACGGATTACAAAGTCAACGGACTCCTTCAAAATTCCCAGATGAAAGTTTATCACATCTGCTCATGATTCCCGGCGCAGGTCACACACTGTGGAACATCGGACAGGCCATTTTATTACATCATTGGGGTAATCCTGACAACAAGAACGATCAAGGAGCGTGGCGAACGGTAGTTGAGCTGGGTGGAAAGAGCGAAAGACCTACTTCAAAGAAAGATTTTACATCAATGATACGATGGATCGAACAGATACACGAGGCAACTATCACAAGTTGCATCTTGTGGGTCCACTTGCAGCTTTCAAATATATGATCATACACGCTTACTGATCAGTATATGTTGTACATTTTGCAAGTGATGAACTTGAACTTCCTGTAGATACTGTCAACAATCATGTAGACATGACGGTCAAGCTTTTTGAGGAAGCAATCAACAAAGTATTTGTCAATTATTTATCGGGACGAGCTATCCGTCTGGCGCGCCACCAAAATGATAGCCGTAGACTGCAGCTATTACTGCGACTTCGCGACTTTGCCACCATTGTCGAAGCCAATCGTGCGATGTCAGATGGGGATGTAGGCCGCCTTCTCCTCATGTGGAAGTCGTGGAGTGTGAAAATGCAAGGAATCAAAGGCCTTTCACATTATTCCCGGTATCTACCTCGACTCATTCGACTGCTAACAAAGGTTCTTCCGAAGTCGCTTTCGCATGTTATTCTCCACACTCTCTTGATTTCTCCAACCGGTCGACACGGGCATTTTGTAGCAAAAGATTTTCATCTGGAGATAAAGAATTACTGGCTAAAGTACTTTTACAATCATGCAGTAGGTAGGTTCAATTCTAGTTTAGATTCTCAAGCTGACAAAGCTTGGATTTGGTTGACCTAGGGGCCAGGAACGGACATCGAGCGACTCAAAGAGACATTCTCTCTCACTGTTGGGCTGGTGCGTATTGGAATCTCATCAATTTGTTCGCAAGTTCACTACTTTAAGAGTATACATGACTGAGTTATAAATTTATTTAGCTCTCGCATTTGGTCAACACTATGAAAGGACGAGCTGGTCAGAACAATGTCCGTCAATCACGTAAGAACCGGTCCACCCCAACATCGATGATTCGCTTCCTGAACATGGCCAGAAGCGAGAATATCACCAAGTCTAAACCCAACTCGGAAACTGTAGGTAAACCTCTAGGAGATATCCATCGTCTTGGCATCCAGAAACTCAAAGTCGATTTTGGCAAGCAACAACTGGAGCGCTTCCACTGGCCTGTTGCTTCAAACTACAGTGAAGAACAAGGTGACAGTGAGCAAATCAATGAGACCGATCATCGAAATGGGTTTGGAAGTATTGACAAGGAATTTGTCGATTGGTTCAGTGAGGAATACAACTCACTTATTTTGGCAAGCCTCCTCTTTTGCATCTAGTTGGTCGTATGGAATCTTATCCACCCTCAACCAGTCCAAACACCGCTTATTATATGCAGCTTTAAGAGCATTAGCTTCTTTATCTGCTTTTACCTGAGCTGAAGTTCGTCGTTTCTTTTTTGTTGCTGCTGCAGGACCGGTCGGAGTTTGTATGATATTAGTTGTTTCTGTTAACACACAATTTACATCAGATTTATTTTTTGACTCTAATGTTTTCACTCGTTTATTTGAAAGTTCTATGGCTACATCTTGTGTCCTCCATTCTTCAATATAATCAAAAACAACCTTGACCCCTCCTTCTAGTATATCACCTCCCATGGTCTCCTCAATGTCCTGTTGATGTTCAATCTTGTCTAGTGCGTTAACTATCACTGTAAACATCATTCAACTTCCCCAATTTGGCAGAGGAAAATGATTAATAGTACAGTTTTTCATAAAAGAATCTAATACTGCACACCTGGGCCATTTCACCCACACTACATATGTGCAGCAAGCTAAGTCAATAGTTGTCTATCATGTACATACAGGTCTGCTCAGTTTTTTGCCCATCAGAATAAATAAATCACATGTTATACCACATGTAACTTTTTCGACTTTGAATTTTTTTTCCCAAAAATTCACTACATATAATTCTGTAGCTGCTCAGGCAATATTGTTGAAGCTATGTCTTAGTAACAGAAAGTGTGTTACATGCAGTTGAGTTGATGAGATTACACCAAAACATTGAGTCAGTGTATGTAGTCAATCTTTTGGAAGCTTTTTTCAATCTGAAAGAAGTTACAGCATGTATTACATATGAATAACTTGTCCTGATGAGCAGATAACTGAGCAGAACTGTATGTACATGATAACCACATATTCACTGAGCCTGCTACACATATGTAGTGTGGGTGTTATGGCTCAGGTGTGGAGTGATAGACCATTTTATGACAAATCATACTCCCAATCATTTTTCCCTGCCCACTTGGGGAACCCGAATAATGTCTGCAGTGTATGGCTCTTGCCTCATCCAGACCGAAATAATCTTCGCTTTCACAGCAATCATCTTCTCCAAAGACTTTGTGATGATGCAACTTATAAATTGAAACCAATTCATCTGCGAGGTCTTTCAATGCTGGATCCAACGTGGCATTTCGTTTTTTTGAAAAAGATTTTTTAGATGTCTCTGCACCATTACCATTGATCACTTCATTCTTCTTTGCCTTGATCTCTTCAGGTTTTAAAAATCCCTCAACACTGAAAGCGTCTTCCATAGCCAACTTGTAATTTTGTTTTGTCAATCTAGGTAAGTTGCAGATGAGCATCTCAGCCGCTTTTGGGCTACAATTCGAGCACTGGCATATTGGGAAACCTGCGGCTACTTCCCGTTCCTTTTCAGCGATTACTCTTGGATCATCTACACAACATGGAACTGTCCCAATTCTGAATAACAACATCAGCGGATTGAGTTTACCACCATTCAGGCATTGGACTACTTACGCGTGTTCCCCAGTGATAGTGCCACTCGTAGGCATATCGGGGTGAAAGCATACGCATCCATGAGCTGGTCATCCGTCATCTCTTTGCTATCATCGACATCTTCCACGGAATTTGAACCACCAGTACGTATTCTTTCAACAAAGTGAATAGCTAGCCCTGGACTGTTCCCTCGTCCACATCGCCCAAAAAGTTGAGTCAGCTCGGGAAGGGCTGTACGGGCCATCACAATTACCTGCATCACCGAAGGCCAATCTTGTCCAAGGCCGAGAGCATTTGTACACGAAATTAGAGGGAATTCATCATTTGTATAACCTGAAATTCCCCTCAGTTTCTCTTTTTTTCCAATACATGAATGATATCTTCGGATCAGGGTACTGTCTGGATTGTGCTCGCCTAATGGTGTTCCTCGGGCTTCATTAACTGCCTTCATCACGTCAAAAGTTGCACCCCTGGTCGATGAGTAAATAAGTGACTTGACCAAATCCACGTCGGGGACTTCTCCTTTCTTGGCATACATAAGTTTTAAGTCCATTGCTTTCCGTAACCCGTGGTCCATTTGGATTCGAAGTATAGTGATGTTTGAACGACTCAGCTCGCCTCGCACAATCTTGAGATCAGCTTCCTGGATGCTCAAGTTGTTCAAAATCGCCGAAAAAGGTCTTGGTGCACAAGTCGCTGACATTAATAAAAGAGGAATTTTATTTGTCGCCAGTAGTCGGAGGCAAAGGTCGCCGTATGATGGTCGAAAGCTGCACGCCATCCTGTAGCCGCGTGAATGCAGAACTGTGTTTTGCTCGTCCGCTCTGAACCATCCCCCACCAGTAAATCATATGTGCTTCATCTAGCACCTTTGCAATCAGACGGTCTTGAAATTTTGCACTGAAGTAAATACGCTCAAAACGCTTGCTGTTCAAAAAAATCTCCGGGCTCTTTGCTCGAAATTGACGTAGTTTTCACGTCAGCTTGTGTAGAATAGAGTTTCTGAAGTCGGAAGTTATTCCTCACCACATATATCACAGAGTATACACCTGCCATGATGTCTTTTTCCACATCATCCGTAAAGCTTTCCTTTGTCAAATTCACCGCGTTGATCTTCCATTTTTTTTTCTCGGCAACCTTCATACAACCAGAACATGCAATTAATATTATATACAAATTTATAAGCTCAAAGAAATGGTGGAGATTTGCTTTATTTACCTGGTTGTCGCCCAAAGCATCTAGTGGATTGAAAACAATAATATTCGCCTTTGCCTCCTTGGCAAAGAGGTCGAGGAACAACTCGGCAATTCGGGTTTTTCCATAGCCAGTTCCAGCTAATACAAATGTGTCGTGGCCCCTGACCAAGGCAATTACTGCTTCCACTTGTAGATCTTTAGCTGGACAATTATATTTCTTCAAATGATTGTCCTCAATCACCTTGCGCAGTTCTTCATTGGATAAAGCCAAGATGTAGTCTGGAAGTACAACTTTCGCCCGAGTTTGCTTAGAAACTGTAGTCGCAGGCGTAGCCGCAAGGAGCTCCGTAGGTCGTCGGTTATTGAAGTTAGACGCAGACTTTTCAGTTGTAATATGATTCCCAGCTGAGCTACGGAGTGTTTTCTTTCTCGTATCATCGAAAGCAGGTGGATCGGTCGTGGCCATCGCAAAATAATCTCGACAACTTTGATGGGATTGCGTTCAGAACCAGAACATTTTCTCTCTCCCTGTTTGAAGCTGGAGCTATCCAGCCCAACGTTGAAAGATTTCCATTATCGTTATCTCTCTCTCCTCTATCTCTCTCTCTCCTGATCATTGATTCACTCTCTCTCTTTCCATGGTCAAAACGAAATGGACCTCTCTTGGGTCCAGCCGTCTCCGCAGTTGTCCAATCGGTATCAAAAAAAGTTACACTATTTCTTCTTCGGTTTGAAGGAAGAAGCTACCATTCACCATTGGTTTGGATTCAATGAGACTATGTACAAGATGTTCAAGAATTTTTTACCCGATTCAGTTTTTTTAAGGAGTTGATGGTGGATGCAGTGATGCAGATTCAGTCTCAAATAGTCAAAAATCCGAAATTTGGCAATCTAATCATGCAACGAAGTACGAATAAGTCGTAAGTCCCTCCTCCGCAAGCTCCGTAGGACGCCCGCGAGGAGGTACTTAGTTAAGTTAGTTGCTTACCCGGTGTTGCTCTGACCACTGAAGAGCCCAGTTCCTAAGTGAATGTTGAGTTGTGTTGTGATACCCGGCAATGCAAGGCACTTACCATAGCGGCAGCTTATGAATCGCGTAGCATTTGCGATTAAGCCATTGCAGTAAACCACAATGCTACATATGGAATATATCAGTTATATCGGTGCGTAGCGTAGCGGGCCAGATGTTGTTTGCAGGGCAATCACCAAGTTTAGACCGTGACTGCTCATTTCACACATCAATGTATTGTCAGCTTGGTTATAGATTCATCTTGAAATCTGAGGGTTAAGTTAAATGTTGATTTCATCACTTCAAAGGATACGCAAGGAGTTCTTCAATAAATCATCGTGTATACATGGGTTGTATAAGGTTTTTTTCTCAACATGGTCTCAATCCACCACGGGTGGAATGATTGGGTAGGTACTTCATAAACACACATAAACACACACACAAAGAATGCACAAAGAATAGTAAAAAACGAGGGTGAAGAGTGGCCAGTCTATGAAAAGAAGATCGTCGTGAAAAAGGCTCAATTTGATGTTAACAACACAACATAAGGAAATGTTTTTTGCGGTGCAAAAGGAATGAGAATAGACCGAAGGGCTTGAATACTAAATTAACAATGCGATGTTAGTTTCGACGTTGAAATTGCATCTCGATGTCTGTACCAAGTTGAGAAGGCCCTCGATTTATGTCAATTGGAACATGAGCAGGTGGCGGATGCGGAGGAAGAGGTGGTGACGTATCGAGAGGCTCATCTAGCCAGAGATCAGTTGCCAGGCTCGATTCGCCGAATTGAACAGACCTCACTGGTGTACGCCGCGAGGGAGACTCGGTCTTGTCCGCGGGAGGCAATGGAGGTGGGCCTTCAAGTAGACGAATAAGGGTGGGGCTGGGTGGTGGGTCGGGGTTTCCACTTCCATCCGGTCCCCACATTTCCAACTCGGCCATGATTTGTTTCAATGCGCACACCCATTTCTGATAACCATCCGAGATAAAACAAACGTGAGTCAAAAATTGAAAGATTCTGTCAAGTGTGAACAGAAAGCGTCGAGTGCGTGGCGACTCACGTTTCGCCTCTGAGTTTTTAACCCTGTATTTTGCCCTGTAAATCAGAAGGAAGACAAATGGCTCAGCTAACTGGGTAGGCGAAAGTTGTGAAGGAGACGACGTACAGTTTGATTTGTATTTTATGTCGGCCTGTAAAGTCATTTTGGCTTGACCCTCGAAGTCTAAGGTTGGATACCGACAAATGTCAGATCCGTGAATGTTGCCAAGAGGAAAAAGTGGTGGACAAACCTTCAACTGAGATGTCGATAGACGGTACGAATTCGCGTCGTTCGGTCCGTAAGAAGGCAAGCATTTTCTCTCTCAAAGCTTCGATCATATCAAACGAGGTGTTGAAGTCAACATCCCACGTGAATGATTCGCTGATGGCACCTGACCGTCGAATACTACATCATCGATGTTAGAAAAGGCTTAAATATCCAAGTGGGTAAGGTAATACTAACTTGACTATTCTTTTGGTGTTGAGAAGACCTGCGAGAATAGAGGGAGGCACCGTGCATAAGAATCGATAAAAATGACATGGTATAATGTTATGCTTGGCTTACTATGGGGGAG